GCCCCTGTGTCCCTGCCCAAACTCAAAAAAGCCTATGAAAAAGGTACCAGGGGCATCTCATGGGGCTCCCTACTGACCCTGCGCCCTCGGGCAGTGCCCGAGTTTCCAAATGCTCAGTCCGCCCCTGGTCTGTATACACACTGTCACCGCAGACAGATGTATCCAGAGGTTTTAAAATACACAGTAGCACTCTTCAGAGACAGGGATTCTTAGTTTGCATTAAACAGCTTTAGAAACAAATCAACACTTTTCAGAAAATAGGATTAATTACTAAAAAGGTCAAAATGGTGTGCAATAAAAATATTTACAGAAAAGATGTAACCATATGTATATATATATATATAGAGAGAGAGAGAGAGAGAGAGAAAGCAATAACACAACAGAGAGATAAAGGAAGAAGTTTAAGAAGGTAGAATACTTGCAGAAGTCCTGGTTTAAGCAGACTTCAAGTGTCCTGAACAAAAGGGTACCTTTTCTCTCGAAGTTGGTTCCTGATGTTAAAAGGGAGAATCTCTTCTTCTCTCTTCAAGCATGACAGCCTGTTTTCTAGGAACCCAGCAGGGTGTGTCTACTGAAGCCAAGGGCCAATCGCCTCATTTGGGGAGGGGGGGTTAGGCGGAGACCCAGGCTGTGACCCAAATCCCTCACAAGTTTATACCATGGTCAAAAACCTTCCATAGGTGCATGCAGCAGCCTAGCCACTGGCAAGATAATATGCAGAACCATATTCTGAATGTCCAGACATCAAATATGACATATCTGGCTGTGATGTTTAAAGAGATATCGCTTTCTGCTCTCTGGTAGACGTTATCTAGGGTGTGAGGTATCAGGTGACTCGAATTAAACTGCCCTATCTCAATATATGCTTGGATTTATTGTGTCTTGTTTCTGAATATGAAATTGTATGAAAAAGTGGTTTCAAGTGGGATGTATGTTTTACTGCCACTCGGGAATGCTTTCATCTCCAGTGACTGACTGGTTTATAGCTTTATGACCAGGCCAAGGCAAGGGTCTGACAGACATCATGAAACCAGCTAATTGGGTTTACAACCATAAAGTGTATCCAGCTGTGCTCGATGCCCTTGTGACCCCAGCATACACACACCACATGCCACTCAAAAAAAAGGGAGGGGGACTGATTTGGAGTGAGAATGACATTTGAAGAGTATGATCCAAATTATGGTTGTTATTGTCCATATCTGTGCAAACAATTATCACAGGTTTACATTCAGTTTAAATGATCATGACACAACCAACACTTTTGAAAATTTTGGGCAGAGTGGGGTAACTTGTCAGTTGGGGAGATTTGCTCTTACATCCTTTGTGGACACCAAGACAGCACATAGATCTCTTCAATTGGGGTACAGACAGTATGTCTGTATGCATGTATGACATATATGACATGTTGTCTGCATACCTTTTGGGGAGATCCTTTGGCTTTTGGCTGTTTGACTGTTTGGTCATTAGGAGAAGAATTCAAAGTAGATTTCTTCAACAGAGACACACCCATCCCAAATTTAATGAAAACCCCAAAAATATGTTCTAGGGTAAAAGCATGTAGACACTTTTGGGACTGTCAGATTTCTGGTCCCTCACTGCATACTATGGTTCTTTCAGCCAGCCCTTATGTCACGACAGGATACAATAGTAATTTAGTTGAGGACCACAAATGCAAAACTCCCAGAAGTATCAGATTAAGAAGATTCTTCAAGAGTCAGTTTCTCTGCAATACAGCCAAGGACACAGGCAGGGGCAAGTTTTTTTTATACTCTATTTCAGCCACAGAGTCATACTGTACATGTGCCAAGAATATTGTACCACCAAGCCAATCTCCTTAAAACCTCCTATGGTTTTAAACAAGTGTTATTTGTATGTTATAAAGAAAAAAAAGTGACATATGAAAAGATTTGAAGTAAAAGAAAAAAAAAGTACCTGTCAAAAAAATTTTAAAAATCTACTTGCACTATACTGTACAGACAACATTTACTATAACTCGCTCAAGTGCTTTTCTATTCATCCTATAGACATACACATTTAACCTTTTTTCTGTAATGGAATAAAATCATAACCACTTTCACAGCAGTAATCTTTTCATATCAGACAGATATAATCTGGCGTAATCGGCAGTGGCTATTCTTGCTGTTGAATGTTTTGAACCGGTGTCTTCCGTGTTATGTTGTTACTCAAAGCAGGGCTCACTTGTGTTACTGCTCAGTTTGTAATTTGCAAGGTCAGACTAAGGACATAGCTGTTGACAAACAAAAAGAAAATTAGCGTGTAACCCCAATGCTCCCAAAAGCAATTTTTTTGTAATTGCAAAGGCAATAAATATGACTAGTAATGACAGTAATCTCCTGTTCCACGTACTATTTAGCTCCTTTGATTTCAACCATACATCAATAAAACAAATGAATCTAGTGGGTTCCTTGCCTGCCGCATCTAAATATACGAGTTAAAAGTATGGGACATTTATCAAGTGAGTTACTAACCTAATAAGGTGCATTTCTAGTACAAATCAGCCTAGCTCTTATATAGGAAAAGATTTGCAGTAGATATTATTTATATTTAAGATCCCTTTACATGTAATCATTGGCAAAAAACCGCAGCAGTTATGCAAATCTTAGACGTATTCATTTAAAACTCTGAGAAGGATTTTCACACAGCACACATGCACAATTAAGGAGTGGTTAGTGGCAGTTTTTATATTGGCACAGTGCTACCATTTAACAGCAGAGGCGGGAATTTATGAATCAATCTGCAATCTTATAGTAAATCTGTTTTAATTGCTCCTGCTTTGTAATGCCTTGATATGTGGATAGATTACTAACTCTCCCCCTAGATTTTTTAACAGAAAGGGGCTCATTTATCAAGTGGCAATTTACCAGTTCACTAGCCATTCAGATTGCTAAAATGCATTTGTGGCCAGTGCGTGTGCCAGAATGAGTCATGATTGCTGATAATCCGCATCTCCCATTCTTTAATAGGATATCCAGGTCCCAGAAGCATCTACCATATTTATAATACAGCAGGGGGCATTTACAGTATTAACTCTGTCACACAGGGACACAGATTATAAAACAGAATATAAAACATATTTACGATAGGAATTTAGCTTTATTAATAAATTCCTACTCCAAAATAGCCCTGAATAAAACAAAACCTGACCCTGACAACATCCTAATTGTATGTCTGTTCCAGGGGCGGAATGACAACTCATGGTGCCCCCAGGCAATAGGGGATCATGGGGCCCCTCTGTCCTTGCCCACACTCAAAAAAGCCTATAAAAAAGGTACCAGGGGCATTTCATGGGGCCCCCTACTGAATTAACCCCGGGCCCTGGGGCAGTGCCCGAGTGCTCAAACGGTCAGCCCGCCCCTGGTCTGTTCAAAGTGATTTGTGTCCTATCTTCATTGCTAACTCTCTCCAAGACCTGTGCAAATCTGTCTCAATTGACTGTCAATGTTTCCAGGTGCAGGGAATCACAATCACAAAAAAACTGTTAATTTTGCTAAATTAGAGACAGATAATTTTTTGTCAATTGTGTTGCTAATAGGTTTGGGCTAAACTTGGGGGTGTCAAACTCCATTTCATTGCAGGCTGTATCAGCATTATGTTTGCCCTCAAAGGGCCAGTTGTATCTGTAAGACTAGATGTCCATTACATCAAATGGAAAGAAATCCCACACCCTCCTTAACATCACTGTGCACCCCCTTTGGGGGCAGAGCTGGAAAGCAGAGGAGGAGTGGAGTCTGCTTACCGGAGCCTGCTGAATGCTGAGACCAGGGGAGGCAGAGATGAGGGGGTGCTGCAGCTGCACTGAGAGGTGCAGGATTTGGCAGAGGAGTTCTATTCTCTCTCTCTGCTGCCAACTGCTGAGACAAAGGGGGTACCTGCAGAAGAGCAAGTGGTTAATAATAAAAAAAAGTTACCCAAATTCATTCTGCACATTGGCATAAAAAATAGCTTTTTCTTCAGAGCAGAAACAGGTAGGACTCTGCAGCAAAGCTTGTTAAAATCCATGCAATGTACATCAATCCCCAGGGATTGTTTGGGTTACTTTTTGACAACTTTCCTGAATGTGCAGAGCAACAGTGGCAGAAGCCAGTTGAATATAGGAAAATTTGAGCAGGTATACTTAAAGTACATTTGACTACTAATAAGAAATATGTATTGCTGTATTTATTTCTCTGATGCTCAGATAAGACTGTCTTATAGTCACAGATACACAGAATATAACTAGATACTAACATTTATAGGTAAAGTTGATCCAGGGAATATCTGATTGCCTCTCGGGGGATCAGGAAGGAATTTTTTTCCATGCAGGAGAAAATTAGATCATGCTTTGCTGGGGGGTTTTTTTGCCTTCCTCTGGATCAACTGTGGGTATAGGAATATAACTTTTTTTCTTCATGGTTGAATTGGATGGACTTTTGTCTTTTTTGAGCCAGACTAACTATGTAACTGTAACTATAGGGAGGTGTGCTGGTAAAGATTTTCTTTTTTGTACAAGTATCGGACAGCGTCATCCTTACTATTGTCTTAAGAATCCTGAAGGAATAGGATATATGAGGTGTGTCCAGAAATTAAAGAGAATGATATTTTAAAAATTATTTCATTGAAAGATTTCACAATTGAACATTGTCTGCTTCAAATGATGCATCTTGTGAGTGTACACAATGCTCCCAGAGATTTTTCCATTCTTCATAGCATCCCTGGAAGTCTTTAAGTGGGAAGGTGTTCAGAGACTGCACAGTGGCTCTTTGGATGTTACCCACACTATCAAAATTGTGTCCTTTCAAAACCTTGTTCATTTTTGGGAATATGAAAAAGTCACAAGGAGTCAAGTCTGGGCTGTAAGGTGGATGGGGAAGCATCATGATCTGTTTTTCAGTAAAAAAAAACCCTGTGATAGCCAAAACACTGACTCGGTGTGCTGTCGTGATGAAGGATCCAAGTTGAGCCAATCTCAGGATGTACACAAAAAACTCTTTGTCTTAAGCGACCAGGTGCGGACAGAACATTTGGAAACTCGGGCACTGCCCGAGGGCCCGGGATCAGTAGGGGGCCCCATAAGATGCCCCTGGTACCTTTTTCATAGGCTTTTTTGAGTTTGGGCAAGGACACAGGGGTCCCATGATCCCCTATTGCCCAGGGGCCTCATGAGTTGCCAGTCCGCCCCTGTAAGTGGCCAAGAACTTCCAGGTAAAATTTTTGATTCACAGTTTGACCAGTAGGTACAAATTCCTTATAGACAATTCCATGTGAATAAAAAAAATGGCCATTCATTTTATTTTTGATTTGCTCATTTGAGCTTTCTTGGGGCAAGGTGAAAAGGGTGTGTGCCATTCTGAACTTTGTTTCTTCCCCTCGGAACCGTACTGAAACATGCAGGATTCATCTCCCATCATCCCACTCAACTCAAAAAAATTAGTCTTTCTATCCAAAAGGGCAAACAGGTCTTGGCAAATTAGTTGACGGTTTTCCTTCTGATCAGGTGACAAGTACTTTGGAACAAACGTTTCTCATGTTCAAATCCTGAATCATGAAGAATTGACTTGGTAATTCCCGTTTCCTCTGCAATTATTCTGATAATGAGCCCTCGGTCACGGTTGAGAACAGACCTCACTACATCCACATTTTATTCTGTTTTTGATGAAGAGGGGCATCCTGATTATTGTTCATCTTTAACACCTTCTCATCCTTCCTTGAAGGCTTAGTGCCATTGGTACACTTGTACAGATGATAGCGCAGCTTCTCCATATGCTTTCCTCACCATTTCCAAAGTTTCTGATGCACTTTTTCCCAATTTCACACAAAGTTTTTTATCGGTACCTCTGTTTTAAACTCACTTGCATTTTTATTAACACGAGGCACTTGAACAAGGTGTCACAAAAAAGAATGTCTGGACTCTGACAGGGCTGGAATGCAACTGATCGGTGTTCTAAAGTATACATAGCACTCCACCCCCAGTGAACTTGGCCAGCTTCTCCCTTCACAGAGCCCTTCTCGAGCATAGGAACTTCATTTTCTGTATGGTGTGCGACTGATATCATCTTAAACTAACTATTACATAAGCCCAAAGGACAATTGCACTGTGTGTGTGGTCATTGGAACACAATATTTAAAAGTTATAAAACTTGGTGAAAAAAGAAATGTTTAAATTTTTTTTCTAACCCAAATTATAAGTGACTTCTGACTGATTGCCATGGGCAGTAGGGAATGATTATTTTCCTGCAGCTTGCAGCTTTTAAATGCCAGTGTTTTGCCTTTTTCCATTCCATTTCCATTTAATTTTGTTCAACTAAAACATGGACTAGTGGCTCATAGACAAAATTAGCTCACCAAATTCTTAACATTAATTCCAGTCCAGGTGCCAAACACTTTAAGATTCATGGACAGACAGTACAAAAATAGCAGAGTATGGTACCTGCTCTGCTTTTGGAGTTAACAGAGGAAGAAGAAGAAGAGATTTTCATAATTAGTAAGTGTGCTCTGCATCTGTGATTTTACTTACAAAAAGTATTTACGGTAAGTATAATTTAGATAGCATTTTGCTATTCATTTCAAGATCATAATTGTGGGTTAAGGCCCCCTTTAACCAAAATATGACATTTATCATGAGGTTTAAATCCTTTTAATTGAAAACAATAAAACTATAATGTAGTTTGGTGATTTTTAGTTTAATACTTTAAAGTTTACAAATTGATGTTATATATAGCTTTTTGTCTCTCCACCTCCCATTCCCAAATAAATAATTAACAATTAATAATTTAAACCTGAAAAACAAATATAGGAGTAAAGAGTAAATAATACCTTACACTCTGGCTTCTGACACAGTCACCTAAGCAAGAGATATGTCACTAGCTTCTTGTGGAATCCTGGAATAGCTGATGAGCCTAAATCCCATGGTAATGCACTCATTGAAATGTCATGCATTGTGCTTAACTATCAGACTGTGGTAATCCACTAGTTAAAAAGTTTCTCTTTTTTCATAGAAAAAGATGAGTGTGCCCTTCCAACTCAACAGCTTCTTAAAAGGAAGAGGCTGCACAAAGCTTGGTCCTTGAATAAAGTTCTACCTGCTGGGAAACATGAAAGATTAATGTGTAGTTTTTTTTTATATATACCTATTTAAAAATACATAAAATTAATGCATCCTATATAAATAAAAAAAATAAATACTACATATTCCTGGAAAAGCACATTCCAGTCAAAACCTAGAGTGCAGCCAAAGATTTCAGCTTTTTATCCTGGCATTCCTGCAGTAAAGTCAGTCCACCTCAATGTTTTTGTGTGTAATCTTGTGGTCTGGGAACCCCTTTTTGCCTACTTGTGTCAGGACCATCAAATGGCTGCAGTGTAGAATTCGAGTTCCTGGACTTTCCTAACTCTGGCGCTGAAAAAAAAAACAAACTGGACAGGATGCTGACCATTAAAACTAAACTAAAAGCAACTGCAAAGGTATAGCTATGAGTGGAAACAATTAGATAATAATCAGCAAATGGCAAGGTTCAAGCCACAATATTTCATACAGAGAAGAGAAGACAGACTAAAGGGGCAGGTCTAGCATTCAGCCATAAATTAAGAAGAGGGGTCCAATGTCCTGACAAGTTTTTCCACCTAAAAAAAAAAAAACCCTTTTGGATAAATCATTGTTCTTCAATATTTGCTTGATTATACTTTCTTTGTGCCAATAGAACTAGAAGATAATATAATTCCAGAGAAGGTACACACAAAGGTCAACAGTGATTGAACAGACATGACATGAACTGAAGGCTTTTAAACAGATAGAATCAAAGAACCCAGAAAAATTATTTTTTTTTCAGATATTTACGCAGTGCTGTACCTTTACATAAGTCCCTGTCCTCAAGGAGCTTACAATCTATGGTCCCTATCTCACATACTATATATACATACATGCACATACATACTAGGATCAATTTGGAAAGGCGCCAATTAACCTACCAGCATGTTTTTGGAGTGTGGAAGGAGACCAGAGTACCCAGAGGAAACCCATGCAAGAACAGAGAGAACATGCAAACACCATGCAGATAGTGTCCTTACTGGAGCATCAACTGGAGACTTCAGTCCTGCAAGGCAGACGTCCAAACCACTAGGGACCAGGGATTAAGGTGCTAACTGGAGAGCTGCAATTAAAAGCAAAAAAACCCCCAAAAAAAACAAGATGACACTTTAATAAGACTTAGAAACAAGCATTGAGTCCAATGCCCAGAATCTAAGACAAACCAGACAGGACCAGGGGCAGACTGACCATTTGGAAACTCGAGCACTGCCCGAGGGTCCGGGGTCAGTAGGGGGCGCCATGAGATGCCCCTGGTACCTTTTTCATAGGCTTTTTTTATTTTTTGGGCAAGGACACAGGGGCCCCATGATCCCCTATTGCTCGTGGGCCCCATGAGTTGTCAGTCCACCCCTGGACAGGACACACAGTGAAGTAGCAACGGTGATGCCATGGCTCAAATAGAAAACAGATAAAAGACCAGTGATACCATGAAGGGAGCAAATGGACTCCTGAAGAGGCAAACAGTTAGTAGGAATTAGACTAGATCACTGCCAGGAGTAATCACACACAGGCAGAAACTACCCAGCAATATGACAGAAGATTACAGGATCATAGAAGTAGGTCAAAGTCAAAGGTGGACTAAATGCAACGTTGATGCAGAAATCACAACATTCAATGAACCAGCACTGGTTGTTAACAAGCTACATACAATCAAATGGACAACTTATTACTTCTCTCCTAAGCTGCAGAGTGGTAAATGTGACATTGCTACTCTAATGAAGACAGATCATATTCCTTGTCAGGGTAGCACCTAAAAAAGGAACTATTGGGGTGGCACAGTGGCTTAGTGGTTAGCACATCTGCCTCACAGTAAATGGGTCAAGGGTTCAATTCCTGACCATGGCGCCTCCTGCATGGAGTTTGCATGTTCTCCCTGTGCTTGTGTGGGTTTCCTCGGGGGCTCTGGTTTCCTCCCACACTCCAAAGACATGCTGGTAGGTTAATTGATCCTGTCTAAATTGGCCCTAGTATGTTTTATGTATGAATGTGAGTTAGGGACCTTAGATTGTACACCCCTTGAGGGTTAGGGACTGATGTGAATGTACAATATATATGTGTAAAGAGCTGCATAAATTGACAGCACTATATAAGTACCTGAAATAAATAAAGATTCTACTTTCTTAAAGCAGAATTTCACCCAAAAGGGGAAGTTCCACTTGTTTGTGTCCTCCCACCCTCCACTGCCACCTTTGGAAGTTTTTTGGGGGAAGGGGGACCTGGTTTATAGGTACCTGTTCCCACTTCTAATCAAATGCGCCACAGCAATCTAAGCCGGAAGTTTGGCTGCCCCACTCCTTCCCCGGCACTTCACAGGTCCCAGAAGACTGCAGAACCATTCACAAACCACAGCACGATTCGCGCATGCGCAGTAGGGGACCGGCTGTGAAACCGTGAGGCTTCACTGCCGGTTTCCTGCACCAGAAGCTGACTGGCTCAGGTGAGGACATCGCTTAATCCCTGGACAGGTAAGTGTCCTTAAATTAAAAGTTATCAGTTACTGGATTTGTAGCTCCTGACTTTTAATTTTTTTGAGGGGGAGCTTGGAACTCCGCTTTACCTGACTGCTTATATCTCATGGCGAGGAGGTTTTACATCTCATAAACCAAAGGCAGCCTTTCAATTGGAGTCTCCATGATATGAGTGATGGCTTAGAGAACTTTTGCTCCCTTAAAGCAATATCGTTGTTTCAGGGAGGTTGGATGCTTCCACTCTGTGGGGTCAACAGCGAACTAGTAAATGCTCTTTTAGGCCACTTTTTACAATTCTCTAATACTGAGAAGGCTGCAGGTAAAAAAAGATTGTTTCTGTGTTCATGTTTATTTTTTGCAAGTGTAACTTTGCACTTTGGTACAATTGCACTTACTGTATGCAGCTTTGCCTGAAAGGATATAGGGCTGTACTAAACCTTAAGTGAGTGAACATTTTGACACCTATTAGTAGGTAGCATTTTACTATTCTGCGAGTATAGGATATCTTCTTACAGAACAGACACACTGGGGGTTATTTACTAAAGGAGTTCCAAGAGAGAATTTTCACTTGGTTTAGTGAATGTGGTGAAGTTCTGCTGACAATCATATGCATGCGAATAGCCTTGCACATGATTGAATGTTCTTTGCGAGGTGGTTTTTCACTACATTTACTAATTAATTGAAAATTCCCTTCCAAAGTAAAATTTCACTTTGCAAGGTGAACATATTCTACTCCTATAGTAAATCAACCCCATTGGGAGACATATCTTGCAAGTTACAAAGATGGATTCTCATCACTAAAAAGTGATGAGCACTATATTATTGCTGCTGCACTGCAGGAAAGTTGACATTGGAAATCTTAGAATGAGGAAAAGAACAAAGAGAGGGCGCACAGGCCTAGAGCATTACCATAAAAAATGTTTAATAAAAAAATAAAGTAGGTGTTTCTACTCATGTGGCTCTGAGGAAGAGGCAAGTCCTCGAAACTCGTCAGCCTATTGGATGTCTACACTCCCTATTGCGGAATTTTACTCAGCGCGGTGTTGACCCAGCTGTTCTTTATGATGTGCCTTGACTATATTGTCGTTTGTGAGTACAACACATACTTTATTTTTTATGAAACATTTTTTATGGTAATGCACTAGGCTATGTGCGCCCTCTATTTGTTCTTTCCTCATTCAGTATATTTGGATTCCCCCAGTCTATTGAGGGCAGCAAGGTGTGCATGTTCCAGGACATTCTTAATGTGGTTGTAGCCTGCATCGAGTCTATCCCCAAGCGCAGGAGCATTTGTGTTTGCTGGTTCATTGGAAATCTTAGATCCTATCCACACATGGCAAATAAAAACTGGTGAGTTATTTGTATCCGTTCTGAGATATGGTAAAAAAAAGGCAATGTTACACTTTAGTTATTGTCAGTGTTTAGCACATTGCTTGCTGTGGACATACAACAGAGAAGAAAGGAAAGGCAAATGGTTTACTGTATTAAATATTTAATCAATAATATTTAATTTAATTTGCAATTACTTTAAATCAGAATTAAATACCGTTCTGAGCTTCCCACTCCCCGTTAGAAGGAGCAAGTGATGGACTGTGTAATCTCATCAAGCACAGGAAAGGGCACATGGAAATGTCCTCTTTCTCCCTGCAAGGTTCCTTCTTATGTGAGCCAGTGGGAAGCCTTGTGACATTTTCCAGGGGAAGTCCTGTCATGACTCAAAGCTTCTCCCAAGTTCTTAATCAAACGTAGCTACAGAAAGGAGAACTGGAACCCAGGCTGTGCATGGTTCACCTAATAATGGAATTTCCGTTTGTTAGAAATGAACAGATTAAAAAGGAACATTTAATTAAAGGGATACTGTACCTTTTGGTCTTATTGTACATTGTAATTGAAAACAGTATTTGATGTTATTTTCACATTTGACGTGCTTTCATTCTTTGTATTTTCATGACGGTGTTTCATGGCCTTCTTCTTCCTAGTGACTATCTCTATATTAGACAGAACAGTTTAATACCCTTGCTGAATAACAGCTAAGGCAAAAGGATAATTGTTGAGTGTATGCAGAATAATCGTTTTGCACAGGGAGAATGGAAAGGTAAAGCAGAATCATTCTACAGCAATTCTAAATATGAGACAGAGCCTGCATAATGAGTACATATGGCTACCATCATGTAAATATATCATTTAAAACTATAAATGGAAATAGAAGTTTTTTTAAACAAATTATACATTTACACATTTTACTTACATTGAACTCATTACATTCACAAGCACCAGTGTTACCACATGAGAAGAAGACATTCGGGGGAAATTTACTAATGCTGGTTCACTCAGAATCTTGTGCACCTGTGCATGGTAGCCAATCAGCTTCTAACCTCAGCTTGTTCAATTAAGCCTTGGCAATAAAACCTGGAAGCTGATTGGTTTCCATGCAGAAGTGAACAAGAGTCTGAGTGAACCAGCTTTAGTAAATAAACCTCAGAGAGTCACATGATTTTGATACTCAAAAGTGCCAGATTTTGCTCCTTGCCTTTGCCAGTGTACAACTCAGCAGACAACTGAAGGAAACGTGAGTATATGCAAGAGGAAGGCCAGGCATTAAATTAAACCCATTGCATTTCCCTACATGAGTTTTATCTTAGCTATGGATTCACAGTCATAGCAGCACAGTGGCTAAATGGTTAGCACTTCCACCTGGCAGTAATAGGGTCGCTGGTTTGAATCCCAACCATGGGACCACCTGTCTGAAGTTTGCATGCTCTCCCTGTGCCTGCGTGGGTATCATTCAGGTACTCTGGTTTCCTCACACACTCCAAAGACTTGCTGGTAGGTTAATTGGATCCTGTCAAAATTGGCCCTAGTATATGAATGTAGGTTAGGGACTTTAGATTGTACACCCCTTGAGGGTTAGGGACTGATGTGAATGTACAATATATATGTAAAGCACTGCATAAATTGACAGCACTATATTAGTACCTGTAATAAATAAAATTAGTTTGAAAAAATTGCATATTGCAATGGCTGGCCACATACAGCCCAGTTTTAACCACTGATCCAAGCAGTACAAGTAATAACTGGCTACAGTGGGGATTAGCAGTAAGCATGAGCCAAATGTACCTGGTGGGCTTGGTAAACACTATTGAAGTTCAGGTGCTGAATTGGAACCGCATTGAGATAAGTGAGAGAATGTTAAAAAACAGCGCTTTTCCCCTTTAACCCGGGTAGGTATAAATCCTTTATAGCTTCACTCTCCTACACACTCTGTTCCAGAGGGTTCCTCCTACTTTTTATCTATCATTTCCTCCACACATGTGGTAAAAACTCTCAACATAGTGTAGCATTTAAATTCACCAATGTTTATTAAAAAAGAAGTACACTCACATTAAAAAGTGTCCTGTTGGGACAATGCAGTAGCAAAGCCTTTTAGTCTGTTACATTCAGTGTACTCTGATGGTTCACAAAATGGCAGCTTGTAAACTTCCGGTGTTGCAGCTTGACATCATCAGCCCACCCTACGCGTTACGTCACAACATGTGGCTTCATCAGGAGTAGCATATATGATATGTCTAGTGTATACTGAAACATATGGCCTCATGTATACTGAGACATATGGTCTCATTACCCTTTGGGAAATTGGGAACCTTTGACCTTTTCTTTTTGTGGTGTGGCTCAAACCAGTTCTGACTAGTTTTTGAACTGCTATATACATATATATACGCTTAAAAGATAAAGAGCCATTGGGGTTTTATTCATATTGAAGTATGGATCAAGGACTGTTGTCTCCAGGAACTTCAAATTAGGAAATTGCAAACCTCGCACCTGGAGATCTCTGTGATTGCTGTGTCATATGGACACAGCTGATCACGTGCCGAGGTAAAAGGCCAATCACAACCTTTTACCACACAATCAGCTGTGTCCAATGCTACAGCAGATCATGGAGTAAATACAGTTGCAGGTCATCGGTAGCAC